ATGGGAGGTTCTGGACAAACTGATGTGTGTCGCTTTGTGCATAAAGGATGCATGAACATTTGCTGGCGTGTGAACAAGTCAAGACAACCTCACATTGCATCAAACCACTTGCTGTAGACCTTTTTGGGGCCTGCAGTTCAGAACAGCCTGGTATTCATATTAGGAATGGTCTTCCTGCATTGAAGGTAGGACACACCACTATCAGAGCCTTGCCAGTATGGGATGATGGAGGCATTTTAAAAATTACACCCACAGTCTAAAATTACAGGCTTCTTAAAAATTTATAGGCAAATTGAACAGGTGGCCTCATTCTGGATGCAGTCCACTGCTTTCCTGACAGCCATCCTTACAAAACCTTTCCAAGCTGCTCTTTTTATAGATTTGGCTCAGTTCATATAAACGCTCTGCTCAGCCAATGAGCGCCAACCAATCTACCATAGGAACCTGCCTCAGTTTCTCAATGGCCCACTAAAGAGAGATGCCGTGGGAGTGCCCATGGATTGCTCTTGCTCCTTCTACCTTTGGTCTAAAATTTAATCAACCTCACCTGCAGATTTGGGGGCCAGCAGATTTGAGGGGTTTCTTAAATAAAAAAAACCCATAGAAGACACTTTGATCCATGTTTACTATGTTTTTATTTACGTATCTTTAGTTATAATAAATAATAAAATATATTTATAATAAAACATAATAAAGTATACTAACGGATGCCAAATAAAAGTAGAACTAAACATATGAGAACAAGTTTCCATACCAAAATCAAAGACAATAAATTAATATCACAAGGTTCTAAGTAACACAAATGTGTTTACATCATCTTGAACATTATTACTCCAGTACATTATAGATGCCATTCCTGAATGAAGACATTATCCTTACCTGTTGCCTGTCCTCTCTGGTTCTTGCTATATATGTATTAAGCTTAACTATGCATACTATGTCCCAAATCTAGTTATTCTCAAAGATGTGGTCATGAAGTGATTGCTTTTAGCTTTTGCATAAATTATCTAGGAGAATTCGGTGCCATGGCACAAACCTCAATGAACCATTATGGAAAAGCCTGTGCTCTTTTACTGAAGAAGCAGTTTTCCCATGAGAAAAATCTGGAGTGCTCCAGGGAAACAGAGAGCACCAGGTCACTGAGTGCAGTGCAGACTATGCCAACCTTGGTATTGTCAGAAACAGCTGATCATCAGAGAGAGAGGTGGGAGAGATCTGGCTGCCTCTCTCACACACATACACACAGCTCAGCTTCAGTCAGGGCTGCTTCTGCAATGAGCATGGACTGCGGAATATGTTCATTCACTTTTTAAGGGGCCTTTGCATGACATCATGAACACCCTGCTCCCATTCTCCCTTGCTTGTTCTAGAAGATACTCAGGGTCTACACATACAGAACATTTATCTTTTGAGGTCCAGCGCCGAGGGCCTTCTGGCGGTTCCCTCATTGCGAGAAGCAAAGCTACAGGGAACCAGGCAGAGGGCCTTCTCGGTAGTGGCGCCCGCCCTGTGGAACGCCCTTCCAGCAGATGTCAAAGCAATAAACAACTACCTGACATTCAGAAGACATCTTAAGGCAGCCCTGTTCAGGGAAGTTTTTAACGTGTGATATTTTACTGTATTTTTGGTTTTGATGGAAGCCGCCCAGAGTGGCTGGGGAGGCCCAGCCAGATGGGCGGGGTATAAATAATAAATTATTTATTGTTATTGTTATTGTTATTGTTATTGTTATTATTATTATTTGCAGGCCTCCCCTTCCCCACATTTGGCCAATTTAATCAAACCCTGGTCCTTCCTTTGCCACAGTTTTGGTGCCCTTTTCCACTGCTTTGATCTGCGCAGAAGCAGACTGGCCCAGCTCCAGTTTCTAAAGGGAAAAACAGAGTTGAAGTGCTACTTTGCATCTTGGGGCCTGACACCAGAAAGCGAAAGTGGCCGGCGTTCGGAATTCCCTAAGATATTGTATACAGAGTACAGTTGGGAGTCTGTCACACCTTGCATTTATCTATCCAATGGCCAGGGATGGTGATAGCTGGAGACCAGCAACACTTGGTGGGCAATGGGTTCCCCATCTCTGACTTAGGAGGACCTATCAAAGTTAACCAGCAGAGGTCAGGCTCTCAGCTGAGTCTCTCTCACTATAAGAAACTATAAGAATGAATTGCGTGCCAAGGCCCTGTGACCTGCAGTTCCCTGGTGGGTAATAAACACATGGACGTGAGTATTTAGGTTTATGAGTTCAAATAGGCCACAGCTTTATTGGATACAGATGTGAGCTGTTTGGCTTAGGCATTGGGTGAAACCAGGCTACATCTCGATTCCCACCCATCTGCAGGGAGTCCAGCTAAGAGTAAACCACCAATAGGGGGAGCCCTATAAGTTACATCAAACAGGGGCACACTGAGGTCCCCGTTGGGTTTGTGGCATGGCCCTAGCCCACGTCCAGGCAGGCAGAATCCACACCCCCCAGATCTCTTTAACAGGATATCCTTAATGAGGACCAGCCAGCGGAGGTGACAACCTCTCCTCCATCCAAAGGCCATCCCAATGCCTAACCTCACCAAGTTGTGACGATTGCTACAAGGTAGGCGAAACCCAAATGGCTGGTGCCAGTTTGCCAAGTGGAAAAAATTCCTACCTGGCCCCAACAATATGGCGGCAAACATTGGTGCATAGCAAGGTTGTGTCATAGCAAAGCATAAAGAGAGGGCGGGTGGGTTGGGAGATCCAGCAAGAGAGGAGGGCCCCCTGGCTGCGCCACGGTTTAAATTTTCTGTGGCCACGCCCCCTACCAGCACTGATTGGACAGTGTGGCCATGCCCAGCACCAGGGATGCAGCAGGCAGATAGCATAAGGGGGTGTCAATCTCTGCCCCCCATCGGATCACTGCAGGGGGCCGGATGCCCGGCCACAACACTGCCCACTGGAAAAGGTGAGCAGATTTCCTTTATTGATGATCCTCCCAGTTGCTTTGAAATTGACAAGAATAACTGACCACAAAAAGGGTGATGGAGCAAAGTATCTACAGGAATGCAACTGTTTTTACGCAGGCTAAGAAATGGGTACACACACTAAGAAATGACAGAATAGATGCACACAAGAACACATGAATTTATACCTTCAAATCTTTATTCCAGTCCTATTGGAATCAGGAGTGGAAAAAATTAATACAAATATATTTTGTATACAAAGAGCCTTAAATATAAACTTTGAAACAGATATTTTGTTTTATAACTAGTTCTATTTACAACATACACAGTATGCCATTTAAAAAAGGGAAACAGGTGGTTAAAAGCGACACTAATCCTTAGGACACAACTGTTTTATAAAAGTTTACACATTCATCCCATGGGATGTACCAAACTATGTTCTTGAAACAGCTTTACTGCCCTCTAAAACATCACATTTAAAGGTATTCAACATCTTCAAGAGAAAAGGAAGTCTTTTTCCATAGGAACATAAAATAATGTATCATTCATGGCATCCAAACACATGTTTATTTTAACAAACATGAAGTCTTGCAGCCACAAACTGAACCACCATCAGAACTGGCAAAGATTCCCAAACACAGTGCAATATTGTTCACCAACATTATACATCAAATGGCTCGTGTGTACAGCTGCTCTTTTCTTTGCAGAAGTTTGCAAGCCGGAACTCATTCCGTGCTTTTGCACAGCTCCCATTCATGCAAAAGAACATTCTGGAAAAACTACACCTGATGTGGCTACCTCAGGCTGCAATATGATGCAGAGCAAGCCTCAATGGCATTCACCTCTGAGTAGACATGCCCAGCATCGCACTGTCAGTCAAAAGGCAAGGGTGCTAGTGCTTTCTGAACACCACCCTACTACGTGCAAGCAGGAGACATGCCTGTCACTACATTTTGCTTTATTTGCTGGTTTTCAGTTCTAAGAGTCTGTCTTCAAGCCACAGGAGTCCAACTATTTCTTGACAATGGGCTAGATCCTGAATCATGCCGCAATCCTAACTCCTGAGAGCATATCAAATTCAATGGGATTTACTTCTGAGTAAGAACGGGCAGTGCTGTACTGTTAAAGTTAGCTGAATTTACAGCATAATGCTAATCATGTCTATTCAAAATAAGTACAGTTTGGCGTTTGCTCCCAGGCAAGCGGAGTAAGGATTGCAGCTTCAGTCCCTGTTGAAATCAATGGGACAATTTAGTCATTACTTATGTTTACAGCTCGCCATTAATTTCTACAAGCTTCTTCCGGATCTGCCACAACACCCTTGGCCTATATACCAGGGTTCTCAAAACTCTGATGTCAGTCTTTCAACTTAGCTTGGGGGTGGAGGGGAAGCACCTGACTTATTCGCTGCATAGACCTGGGGCAACAAAACCAATCATTTGCCCAAGTTGACAAATTCTCAGTCTGAAAAGCGGGGAGATCAAATAAGCGCCACAGAGAGAGCTTGGGAAATGTGTCAAAGAACCCAAGGGAAGCAAAAGAAGGGCAGGGAGTGGAAGATAGGGAGTTCCCTTCCTTGGCATCCAAAACAAGCCATCAGCAAAACAAGTGGGAGGTTGGGTGGAGTTGGGCAAAGATGCTCATGCCATGCTGGTTTGTGGGTCAACTGAGCTGCTGCTGGATGCAAGCAAACATCAGCAAGGGGAGAGGGGACAGAAAAGGGCAGGCACCCCAACTAGCAATACTCCAGGCCTTCTTGGGGAAGCCAGCCCCATGCTATAAGCCAAGGATTTGCAAAGTGGAGGCAACCTAGCCAAAGCAACGCTACAAAAAGCCACTGCTGGAAGCAAGCACTGTTTAGAAACAGCCGTAGATCCGATCCAATGTGCACTTTGATGGTTCTTAGGTGGAAGTGTTCAAGGAGTCTTAATGGGGGTCCGAATGAAGCTTAGCTTAACTATTCAGACCCAGTCAGGTCTGCCTTTCTTTTTTCTTAATGCACATTACGTGTGTGTGTGTGTGTGTGTGTGTGTGTGTGTAAAATAGAATTCTACGATATATATATATATATATATAGATATATACACACACACATACACACACAAATACTTTTACACACTGAACATTATTCAAATCACAAATGATGTGTGCACGCAAGACACACACCATATGCCAACGAAACAAGTAATCTGTTGGCGTTTGCTTTCATCCAGAATGTAAAAACAGTGGTGATTATTATATATTGGTCAGAATTCCCAAAAGGGTTAGCTTTAGAAAATCCTTCAAGTGATAAAACCGATTGCACTCTTCTTCAAAAGCAGCTAGTTCTCCAAGAGGCATTATCTCCTTCTGTCCAGCACAAGAGATCCTCAGATTTATTCGTAGTCCAGCGTTGTTGTTCCCCGGACAATGTTAAGGTAGCCAGCTAATGCTCCAATGTCTATGTACAACGATCGCTGCCTCTTTAGCAGTTCCGATTCCTCGGTAATCCCAAGACTTGAAGAATCTGACAAGGAAGAATTTTAAAAGAGAGAGATCACCATATGTTATTATACTGCAAGACACGTTTTAGAGTAATTGGTGGTGATTTTTCAAATCTGCTTCAGCTCACTAAATATGCTTCTTTTCGAGAAAACGAATAAATCAGCAGCCTTTGCAGAAGAAAAGGAAACACAGACTCAAGGGAGATGAACCATAATAGGTGGTTACAGCCATTCATCCAGTCCTCAGTTTAATTCTTCTGCAGCATCAATAAAGTTTACAATGAGGAGAAGGGATGTTTCCTTTTAACAAACCTGTTAGTAGGGGACAACTTTCTTAGCAAGTGAAGCGCAAAGCATGAAATAGTACTGTTCTTGTGTGCACTAATCTCTCTCTCCATCTATCTGTGCCTCCCATTTCTTGGTGCAGTTTACCTCCGGTATACCAGAAAAGGAACCAGCACAGGAAAATCAGGCATCATTAATGCAAATGTCTGACAAACCCTTGCTCTGCCTGTGCTGCAGCTTAGCTACCTATTGCTGCAAGCTCGAAAGGTAGTGGTGCTCCACTCATGGGACAGCTGGCATATAAAAGGTCACCGCTTCCATTCTAAACACACATACACAGTTGCAAGCCCCATGGAGCACAGCAGGACTTAGTTCTGAGTAAACATGCATGGGACTGCACTGTTAAAGGGCTAGGATATTGTCCCCAACCACACAATGTATGTTTTACAATCATCTTAGAAATGGTCTAGTAGCAGGATGTGGGTGGGACATCTCTGGACAGTCAGACATAATTTTGCCTATTGCTGTTTGAAAAGGTCGGATGCAGGTAATCCCATACTCATGTGTTTTTTAAAAAAAACCACAAAATTTGAGAAATCGCATTTTAAAAAAATTGTATGTTGTTTTAACTCTGATTTGCATTGCTGTTGTTTTCCCTCAACACGTCCTGTTTCTTAAAACAAAAACAAAAAACCAAACCTAATACTCAAAATTCTGGAGAAAAGTATTTCACAATTCTGGGAGCTCCAAAATACTTTTTTTCTTTTCCCAAGAGCTTCCTGGGTGACTTGTGTGAGCTTCTCATTGAACTGATTTTCCAGCAATCTGCTGCACTGAAGCTAAAGCCTCGTTCCACTGGGAAGCTAATGAGATTTCTGAAATGAATGGGAACCTTAGCCTGACCTTATCCTAAGACTTTGACCACAAGCCCTTAAACTTCAACCTTGCCATGAGCAGCTGTGCACTCCGTCCTCCAGACAAATACTCTGACAAGAGTCTATATCAGTCTCCTACGTTCATCTCATTCCCTTCACCTGCCGCTTCCACCTCGACCTGTGACCCGACAAAGCGCTCCTGCCTGGCACAGGCTCAGTCCCGTACCCCTGTCCCCTTCTGTTAGAGCAGGGATGGGGGACCTGTGGCCCTCCAGAGGTTACTGGACTATGGTACCCATCATCCTTGGCCACTGGCTGATGGGTGCTGGAGTCCAGCCAGACCCAGAGGGCAGATGTAGGAGGATTGGTTTTGTACCAGCAATGTTTTCTGGCAGCTCCAGGTCCTCCCTGGTCATCAGCCTTTTCCTTTCGAAGAGTGCCGAGTCCAGGCTCTGACACCGGGGCTGATCCTCCGGAGGCGGGTGCAAGGCCTCGTGCTTAAGCAGCTCTGTGGCAGAGGGTCTTTGGTTTGGGTTCCTTTCCAGAGAAGCTTCCAGCAACCTTCTCATGCCGGCACTGCAGTCCTCAGCAATGTCTTCCAGAGGCGGCGCTTGCTTGTGGATCTATTGGGAGGGAAGAAAAACCGACTGCTTTTAGCACGATGCTCACCAAGAGGGAGAGAGATAAACAGCTTCGGAGAGGCTCCTTTCTATCATAAGGTTACCACCCTAGGAATTTCCTCGCCCTGACTCATGCTTTGGAAAACTGCCACTCTGCCGCCACCGTGGAGAACCACGGCAAAGCTGGAAACGGAGCCAGTTTCACAGCGGAACAGCAAACCCTAACAAACCGGCTTACAGTTCACCCAAAGGTCGGAGATCCTCGCTCCGCAATCTGGGCCAACGAACACAGAGCAACTAGGGGACGATCCAGCTTGCAGGCCAAAATGGAGCATCGATTCGGTTTCAGCAAACATCGGTTTGTGTGCTGGCAATGTGACACACTGGTTGGCAGTGTGAGGAGCCTTGGCACCTCAAGGTCACCGTGCAAACACAGGAGTGTAAAGAGCTGCCTTATACTGAATCGGGTCATGGGGACCTGCCAGCTCAGCACTGCTTATAGTGACTGCCAGCAGCTCTCCAAGTTTCCAAGCAAGAACTTTCTCTCCCCCATACACCTTGATATGTTAGGGACTGAACCTGGGAACCTCTGCATCCAAGGCAGATGATCTACCACTGAGCTACTGGCTTGAAGAAAATCTGCTTAAAAAAGCACGTCTGCACACAATGGCTCCAGTTTGCGAGGCCTAAAACCTTGGGACAGTCACGGGGGCCTGAGATCATCGCCCTAGAGTTCCTCTGCCAAGTTCACATTCTGCCTGTGAACTTCACAGCTTGCAGTTTCCACCTCCCTCCCACTCAGATCAGAGAGAAACAAACGGAACCATTCCCCTTGTTGTTCATACTTCCACAATCCCATGGAAGTTTACCGAGTTCAAACAGCAAGAAGGTCAAAACGAAAAGGAAAAAATAGACTTGGGAGTGAGCGATGCAACTGTGGAAATGCATGTCTGGGGCTTCGTTCTCGTTGAGGCACTAAACCTCTGCTGTGGCTGTGCCACTTCAGACAACAGGCAGGAGCTCATAACCCAAATGCTCCTCTAACTTTCGATTTTTCTGTGTGCAGGATCCGCTGCCGACGGGCAAGCGATTAACCATGTGATCCCCCACCTGCAATCTGAAGTGCTGTCCAGATCCTGCAGGTTTGTCACCCTTTGGGGACGGGGGCAATGCAGAAGACACACAAATATTCTTAGAAATATATTAATAAGTAGCTGATGGAGCAAGCTCCAGTTTGGGTCACAGCAGTGGTCCTGAGTGAGAATCTAACCCTTTCCTTCCATGCCACTTTGCCAAATGAAACCACCCCTCAGCCTGCTCCTGGGTATGTGGAGACAACAGGTATTTGTATCCTTCCACCCACATGGCTTGCTGAGGCTAATAGCAGGGGGGTGGGGAAATATATATCTTGGGGAAATAGTGTGAACACACAACGGCTGCTGCTCTAATCCGAGTCTCTTGTAGCTTCTTTTAAGTGAAACTTGGAAATCCGGTTTCAGATCTCAAACACCACATGCCTGCTTTGTGTCCCAGTGAGAATTCATTCTGAGTGCCATTTCCGAGCGGGGTTGGAAAATACCTATCTGTGGTGCTCATTGTGTTGCCACTCTGGGCCTGGCAACTGCTCAGGGTGACTCAGCCGGTAGTTTTGCCCTCGAGAGCATTGCAAAACGAGCATTTCTGGATCAGGCTCAGCGGTGGGGCGCGTGGAGCGTATGCAGAAAGTCCCAAGATCAACCCTTCGCATCTCCAGTCAAAGGAGCCAGGTAGCGGGAGATGGGGGGGACCTTCCCCTGCCTGACACCCTGGAAAGCCGCTGCCAGGCTGAGTGGACAGTTCTGAGCTAGATGGACCAATAACTCGGACATGGTCTAAGGTAGCTTCCTATGCTAGTTAAGGGAGTACCCCATTTCCTGCAGTGGCCAACCAGGTGCCTATAGGAAGTCAACAAGCCTGAAAATAAGGCAGGTGCTATCAGAAAGGGGTGTGTGCCCACGCGGCCAAAGTCCATGCTTACTATGTAGAGGTAGGAGGGGTACGCCGCACGGGGATAGCGATTCACCCATGGCGGGATGCCAGTCTGCATGTGGATGATTGTTGCTCCCAGGCTATAGATGTCGGCTTTTGTAGTGTGGCCTCGGCAAAGGATCACTTCTGGGCTCATGTAAATCTGCAAACGGAACCCAGAGGGAAAATTAGCTCCAGTCTTGAATCTTGACAGTCTTAACAGCAAGAAAGATTGGGCAACAGGGAAGTGGTTTTATTTTCCCCACACCCACCCCTCTTTTAGCATAGGTGGGAGGGGATTATTTTTGTCCTCCAGATGATGCTGAACTACAGTTCCCATCATCCCTGGCCACACTTGCAAGGGCTGATGGGTTTGAAGTGGGATTCCCATTTCGCCTTGGAGGCAAAACCATTTGCCTGCTAACAAAAAAAGACAGCGGGCGCCCGGGAAAGAGCAAAGGGAGGAGGGCTCATTCATGTAGCGCCAAACCACGGTTTGGTGTTACATCTGAACTCATTCATGTAGCGCCAAACCACGGTTTGGTGTTACATCTGAACTGAGACATATAGAGAAGAAATGCCATAAGCCAGGCAACTGAAACTTCAGCGCGCACACATTTGCAGGCCAGCGTTGCAGCCTGCAGATTAGGATTGAAACCTTCCCATGGAATGATGGGATGCAACTAAACCAAAGTCCAGTTTCCCTGCCCCCCAAAAAACTATCAGTTACCACTAAATCATTCCAAGCTTTTTTTTACCATTACTTGTGTCTATTTTTAAACTTAGATGGTGCAAATCAAGTATTTGTTCGTTTTCATGAGCACATCAAAAAGGAGATAAGGTTGAGTGTTCTGCACGAGCTCCCAATAGATCTTCCAATGGGACTATGACCCCCCCCACTGCTGCCGCCCTTGTGGCAGCTCTTTCCCATTCAGCTCTCATTACAATGACATGAGAGTAACAGCAGCAAGGCTCCCTTCTTGCACATGGTTCTTACCTCTGTTCCTCGGAGGTCTTTGGGATAGAAAACATCTTCCGTCATTTGAACGCTCAGACCGAAGTCCACCAGAACGGCTTTGGTTGACATGAAAACAATGTTGCTGGCTAGAAACAAAAGGAGAACAAACGAGGGATTGTTAGGGACCTGGAGAGGAAATCTCAACATCTGCTTGAGGTGCAGGGGAGCAAAACGGAGGACAATATGCGCTGTATTTTTCTCCCCAGCAAAACTAAATAACTTGAAGGTGGGTTCCCCCGTCATCCCCCTGCAATGCAGCAATAGTAAATACTGGCTTACCTTACAGGGCTGGCTGTAAGGTTTACTAAGGAAATGTATGCAAGGTGCTTTGAAGACTAAAATTAAATGCAAAATATCATCATCCCCTAGGTGTCTTTAATAGCTAAGAATGGTACACTTTTATTTACTCTTCTTATTACTACTACTACCTATATTATTAATAATAATAATTTTGCAAGAGCCTATGTGTAAATGCATAGGAGGCTGGGGGAAGGGGGAAATCCTTTTGGTTTCCTCAACCTCGGCCCTCCAGATGCTTTTGGCCTACAACTCCCATGATCCCTAGCTAGCAGGACAGGGATGATGGGAATTGTAGTCTCAAAACGTCTGGAGGGCCGAGGTTGAGGAAGTCTGGTTTAGTTTCCCTTTCCTGGGGCTGTAAATATCCTTCTAACACTGATGGGGTCCAAGCATCCACATAGGCTGGCTAACCAAGAGATGTTTTAAAAAAAATACACCTGAAGCAAGACATTTTTTAAAAAAAAGCAAACAAACTAGAGCTCCTGTGTAGCTTTCAGGCTTCAGGGCAAAGGCTGGAAGCTGAAGCCTTTGACAGCAATAAACTGAGCAAGATTGGAGACAGGAGTCCCCAAAGACACCAGACTTCATGGCATTTCAGCTGGACACACCTCTCTTAATGAGGCTCTTTGTACAAATCCTGGCCTAAAGCTATAGATGTAGAGAAGAATAAGAAAGGCTTCCCCCTCCTTGGGCATCCTGGTCTTCGTAACACAGCAATCACAAACTCAAGGGAGCTTCTGCTGCATAACCTGTTTGGCTATGACAAGCAAAATAAATAAATAAGGGTAAACAATTATCCCAAAATCTTCTGTGGCATTGTTGGCTCCACTACCCTGGGGCTTTTCTCTGCTGCTGGAGTCCAATGCTGTGTTCAATGGTTTTATAATTTTAAAGTGAATTTTAATGTTGTGCATTGTTATTGTAAATTGTTGTTGTTGCTAGCAGGCGGCATGCAAATGCTATCAAGGAATCTGGAACATGTTTTTCCTGTTAAGAAATAAGTAATAAGGATGCACATATTCTAAAGAGGGAAAGTAGCGGTTTTCCACATATTAAGGCAGCAATCCTGTACATGGATTTCATGGGACTTATTTCTGAACAGACATGCCCAGGACTGTGCAGTAAGGACCACTTCCAATCTTGGCTTGACTGCCAAAGGTGCTCCAAGAACCGCAGTGAGTTACCTCTGAGGCATATTCTAGATACTCTGTTTACATGGGGGAAATTGCTCCTAAAATGCCATTACTGACCATCTGCCTCATTCTGTATATCCTACTTACTGAGGTTCATTGGAGAACTATTTATTATTCTGCTTATTAACAGATGTAAAACCTGCCTTCCTCAGAAGGATCACAGGGCTTCATTTATGGTGGTTATTTTAGAAGGCTTGTGAACAGACTGTACGAAGTCATCCTTATGCCTGTTTGACTTTGGCATGCTTTTTACAGCTGTGGCTTTCATTTCTTTATATTTCTAACATTCTGTCAATGGACTCTCCCAGATCCGAATGAACAGAAATCATAGGCATAAACATTTACTTAAGATAAACATACAAATCTCACTGACAACCTCCAGATAGGTCTTCCAAGGAACTTCCAGGATTATCTTGAGCCCAATTTATAAATTATGGGTGTTGCACGTAAGGACAAGCTGTTGCTAGACTACAACTCCCATCATCCCTGACCATTGGCCAAACTCGCAGAGGCTGATGGGAGCTGGAGTCCAACCACATTCCGAGGGCCACAGCTTCGAAATTGAAGGTTTCGAACACTACACAGTGCAACTGGTGTAAGGGGAGGGCACAGCTGTTTAAAAGTAAATTATAACCTACGTTTTATATCTTGATGTATAACTCCTTTCGAGTGAAGAAACTCCAGTCCCTTGAGGATATGCTTCGTCACCCATATGATCTCGAACTCTCTTAGAGGCCCACAGCTTTCCACCTTCTCCAGGACAGAGCCTCCTTCTCCTGCCTCCATGAAGAGGTGGATTGTCTCGTCCCACAAGATGGCTCCATAAAGTTCGGCAATATTCTCATGGCGGAAGCAGGCCTGGATCTCAACATCTGATGGCTTGAACTGTTCCACTGGGACCTAGGGGGCCAAAATGGAGGCAGATTAAGTAAAGCAGGAAGAGCAAAGATCCACAGTTCATGAACTGACACACATAATGCTCTGGAGATCATTGTGTCAGTGCTCTGAGCTTACTATTACAAAGGGAAGGAAGGTGGTAGGGAATACAAAAGGCTCAGAAAACAGTGAACAAATTGAGGAAGAGCAAGGGAGTTGTCAAGGTTGGATGGAGGGTTGCTTTGCTGCTGTGTGGATGAGGTGTGTTGAGCACGCCTAATATCCAGCACCCACATCCTGGAGCCAGAATGGGGCTTGCTTTGGAAATAAACAACAACAACAATTTATATCCCACCCATCTGGCTGGGTTTCCCCAACCACTCTGGGCAGCTCCCAACAGAATTCAAAGCATAATAAAACATCAAACATTAAAAGCTTCCCTAAACAGGGCTGCCTTCAGATGTCTTCTAAAAGTCAGATAGTTGTTTATTTCCTTGACGTCTGATGAGAGGATGTTCCACAGGGCAGGTGCCACAAGAAGGCCCTCTGCCAGGTTCCCTGTAACCTGGCTTCTCGCAGTGAGGGAACCGCCAGAAGGCCCTCAGCGCTGGACCTCAGTGTCCGGGCTGAAACACTTGGGCAGCTGCTTTGAGTACCTTTGTTACCCAAAAGAATACTGCAGCCTTCCTCAGCTGGAGAGGGATCAGAAAATTTTACCACACAGCATCCCCAAAACTCAAAGCAACTGCAGGGACGATGACCACTACCACCACCCTGTCCCAGCTGTGAGTTGGAAGAGACAGATGGGACTCTGCTCATCAGCCTCCCCACTGGTTGATGGAACGCGTGGCGTGAGGGTGAGGGTGGCAAGCAGAACTGGAGACTGCTGGTTTGAGCAGTTGTTTTGTGATGACATATGAGCAAGCCCTGAGGAAAGCACTCAAAATAGAAATCCATTGGGATAGGGCTACTGTAAAAACATGGAATTTATACAAGGCCTTTGAAGGTGTTCATAGATCAGACCCAGCCTGGGTTCCCATAATCATCATGCATCTAAATAATTATCTTCACCATTTGTCACCAATAAATGCCTCCCCTTAATGCACATATCCCAAAGTGTCAGACAACAGGGCAAAGTGCTTGCTTGCATTGAGCTCCATTCACATCTCAGAGTGCACCATGCGCACCCTGGAGATACTGGGTGCTAGCTACTCAGAGAAGACCCACTGAAATTAATAGGCCCCAAGTTACCCACACTCATTCAGTTCAGTGGGTCTAGAATCAGCACAGGCTACAACCCATGACATCTGGACAGATATTTCCTCCATCATAAAAGCAACAATACTCCCCTTCCCCCGCTTATCACTACATTAAATGAAAGGCAGAAAGTCCATCTAATAGCAGTACGGACCCAACACATAACAGACCCTCGGAAAGGGAACCCTAGGAACGTACCAGTTTGCAAGCCATGCGCTTTTTGGTTTCAGTATCTTGTGCCAAGTAGACTTTCCCGAAAGCTCCCCGTGGAATAAAGTCAGTCCCGATATTTCTATAGGTTAGCTTCCATGGAAACAGGAGCACATCGGAGTCAATTTGATAGCGCCCATTTTTCGGACTGATCTATAGAAAAAATAATAAGATGAGGGGAAATTAAAGGAAGCTATTTTTTTCCCCCATGAGAAACTCGCCAGAGAAAGATATATCTGGTTTTTGGAGATATGTATTGCCCTCCCAGAATCAGACTGACGGATTCCACCTTGTCCAATGCTACCTGTTCTTGCCATGGTTCTCCAGCCTCGCTGTCCCTGCACACACAACACTTCATGAGATCTTTTAAATGGAAATTGCCTGGGGTTGAGCTTGGGACCTTCTGTGTGCCAAACATAGAATTATAAAAGAGTTGGAAGGGATCTCCAAGGGTCATCTATTCCAACCCCCCAAAGTGAGAAGCCTCCACATTCTGGGAACCTAACTTTGCCTGATTTCTTCTTCGCAGTACAAAGAAGCCTTGTGGCACAAAGGAAGGAGCAGCCTTTATGTAGACCAATCAAATGGGAATGGCACGTGAAGTATTCAGTTCACTCTGGAAATATTTATAATTCCAGTGAGCGATTAGCCTCCCATAAAGACTCAGTTGCACCTTACTCTCTGGCAACAGCAACCTGGCTGAGGGATTTGCGTAATGAGTCCATCTGCTGGTTTGTTTGTTCATTCCTGGAACCTGCCCGCCTCTTGCTCCACAAAGCTGTGGGTTTGGTTAGAGAAGGTAAGCAAACAGTTTTTGACACTTCCTACCTTCAAAGGTGGTACAGGGGAGGGGGAAAGAAGCACTTTTCCGAATATTCAGAGAAGATAAGCAGATAAAGCCTCATTGTGTCATGCAGGTTTGAATGGTACTTTGAAACCACAAGCACAGCTGGCCGGCAAAAGTGATACGTTTGCAAGGTTCTCAAACAGAGCAAGGCAAGAGTTTGAGCTTCTCACAATTAAAAGTAGGGCTGCGACGTTTAGTCAGCTGTTTGTTTAGATCAGAGGTGGGGAAGTTTTTTGAGCCTGGGGCCACATTCCTTTCTTGGGGGGCCTTGCCGGGGGGGGGGGGGGCAAGAGGCCAAAGTGGGCAAAGCAATGAATATACCTGAAGGAGCGTCTCCACCCCCATCGTTCAACCCAGACACTGAGGTCCAGCTCTGAGGGCCTTCTGGCGGTTCCCTCACTGCAAGAAGTGAGGTTACAGGGAACCAGGCAGAGGGCCTTCTTGGTAGTGGCACCGCCCTGTGGAACGCCCTCCCTTCAGATGTCAAAGAAACAAAAAACTATCTGATGTTTAGAAGACATCTGAAGGCACCCCTGTTTAGGGAAGTTTTTCATGTTTGATGATTTATTCTGTTTCTAATGTTCTGTTGAAAGCTGCCCAGAGTGGCTGGGTAGAAATAATAAATTCTTTATTTATTATTATTATTAATTAATTATATTAATTAATTATATTAATTATTATTATTATTATTATTATTAAAATTTTACCCATTTGCAGTGGGCTAGCTTCTCCACACATGCAAACATCACCATCCTCTATCCGGGCAACCAAGACATATTAATTAATCAATTGACGACATCATATTCAAACCGCAATATGCATTTTAAATCTAAGCTGCTTGCAGGATCTAACACAGGGGCCTTAGCACCTTAGCTCTGCTGCAGCAGCTGCCTTCTGCACAACATTTATGTCTCCCAGCTCCTCCACACTATGCAACTTCAAGAGCCATGAAACTGTCGTTGCGTCAGGATACCCTCCCATCCCCTTGGGTGGGCAGGCTTGGTTCATGAGAGTCAGAGCTGTTGACATAAAGTTACACTGTCCATATTGCAAAGAAGGCAATAAAAATATATATTCCAAAACAGCTGGGAAGACCCATCCAGTTCTATCTAACTGCCCAAGCTCACAGCATTGTTCTTTCAGTTGTTTAATAAGGCTTCCTCTCTATTACAGGATTAAGATCTGGGTATGCAAATGGAAAATAGTGTCAATTTCTATTGCAGCTTGAAGCAAGAAACAGATCGGGGGATACTTGTCCCCCGATCCAGTTCATCTCATGGAGGGGAGTGCGATTGCACCTGTTCTCCCTACCACACACTTGGCGCACGGGCTCTATCCCTAGGTAGGGCTGTAATGTTTTTACACAGCTTACACATGTAAAAAATCAAAACTGTGTGGTCCATTTCCTCAGTAAAATCCAATAACGGACAAGGTTGGGGGAAGAGCTGTAGCTTCTGGACAGCTTTTGCAGACAAAAGCTGAGAGTCCTGTCTGAAACCCGCTGCGAGATGGACTAGTGGTCTGACTCTGTATCAAGGAGCTTCCTATGATTTTAGTCTATGCGTGTTGCATTTTGTGCATCTAGGTCGTCCAATCCACAAGCCGGTGTCTATCTTGGAGACCCTAACTTTAAGCCCATTTTTTTACCACATCCCACACCTTCAGCAGCAACTGGAGGACAAGAGGAGCCTGCTGAATCGGGCCCAGCTAGTCCAGCATCCTGTTCCCACAGTGGCCAACCAGACACACTCATTTTCTTCTTTGGGCTTCCCATAAGCAACAGCATCCTCCCCATTTGTGATTCCCAGAAACTGCTATCCAGAGGCTTACTGCCTCTGAATCAAGCACAGGCCAAGGGCATCCACAATGGCAGACGGGCATTTCAAAGAAAAGAACGTACCATGTTTAATATGATTCCAGACTCTTGTCTTCTGGGCCGGCAAAACTGCTTGGCAGTGTTGGACACTTGGTTTGCAAAAGCCAGCAAGTCTTCCACGGTCCCATACTTGACGGACGACAACGCCGAAACTTCCCTTCCGCTGAACAGCAAGGATTCAGCACGCTCCTCATTCTTGTTCGTCTCCGGACACAGGGCAAGCAGGCTGTCTTCGTAAACGGCAAGGTCTCCATTTGGGTAAAGGTTCTCCATGATGTCGATCACTTCAGACATATTTAAGTCTGTTAGCAATAAGTCAATCTCCTGCTTATGGTCACTGTCGGTGCTCATATACTCCATCACGGTTTTCCCTCTTCCCCTTATCCTACCTGCAAACCAGAGCAGAATAAGATTTCACAGTTAGTTAAAGACGAAAGCGAAATGATATCAACTTAGGAAGTTATTGGGCATCTGCAGTTAGAACAAGCATATCTTAACACTGACGGGGGAGAAGAAGCCTATGGAGTCTGCATACTTTAGGCCACAACCCTGCGTAGTTAAACAGGCATAAGGCAGGGATCCATATATATATACTTAGGTCACATTCATGCTACACATGTAGCACACATTTGAAGCACATGGTTTCTCCCAATGAATCATGGGAACTGTTGTTTATTCCTCATACAGCTACAGCACCCAATGGCCTTAGCAAATTACCGCTCCCAGGATTCTCTGCAGAAAGCCACATGTTTTATATGTCCTTAGAGTGTATGGAGCAGCTGTGACCTTACTAGGAAGCAAGTTAATTGAACTCAGCAAGGCCAACTTTCAAAGAAACATGTATAGGATCAGATTGCAAGCCCCAGTTAAAGCAACTGGGCAAATTGGCAGATGGCCATAAGGGATTCTTACAGTGGGCCAAGTTTACACATGTTTTTAAGTCCCACCGGCCTTGCATGTTAACTGTGCCTTAAGCACCGCTGAAATCAACAGGACTTAACATGGTCTTTTTCAGAGGAGGGTCAAAAGGAGATTTAACTGCCAGCTATACAGCTATATATACTACTGTAAGGATGGGGAATCTGTGGCCCTCCAGAGGTTGCCTGACCAATGCCCATCATCCCTGACCATTGGCTATGCTGCTGGAGTTTGGACTCCAACAACATCTGAAGGCCACAGGGCCCTTTTGGACTAACGTGATGGGAAGGCAGTGCTCTCTGACACAACAGATTGGAAGAGAGCGAAGGGTCCAAGCCTGCAGCAGCAAGTGCAATATGCTCAGGTCAGTAGAGTTGAGGTGCACGCTTTGCTGACTAGGCTTACAAGTACAGGGGAGGAGGGATATCACTGTGTGCTTCAAGGATGGTGGAGCTGTAAGCTGCCAGAGGTTGCTGGACTTCAACTCCTATCAGCCTCAGCAAGTCTGGCCAATGGTCAGAGATGGTGGGAGTTCCCTATCTCTGGTGTAATTCTGGACAGCACGGATAGCCCCTGCTGTGGGGCTTTCCCTTCAGCTGCCCTCCTCCTTCTGAAAGAGAAGTCATACTTTCTGCTGCAGCCACCTGCTGGAGGAGACTCTCCCCTGCCCTTTTCCCCACCCCTGCACCTTCCAGCAGGCCTTGAAAGGGTGACTTTGGCCCTATATGTACTAGAGCAGTGTTTCCCAAACGTTTTTGGGCAACGGCACACCTGTTTACTGAAAAAAAATCTCGCGGCACACCACCATTAAAGCCCCGCCCCGTGACGTCAGCGCGCAGCGTCACGCCGGGAGGGACGCACAAAAGTGAAAGTTTTTTCCCTCCCCCTTGCTGGGGAACCTCCAAGCTTTGGGGGTGGGAGGAGGCAGCAGAGCGAGGGACTGAGGGACGGCGGCAACTGAGGCGGCGGCGGCTGAGGCAGAGCTGGGAAGGGGGTTTCCAGGGGACACGGCAGCTCCTCGAAAGGCTTCTCTCAGCTGCGCTCAATCCGCCTCGGAGAGGATTTCCCCTCCGGTCCCATGCGTTCGTTTGGGGCATCGCTCCGGCTGCTCCCTCTCCGCCGCGCAGGAGCGATGCCTCTCTCTGGCTCTCCCTCCGCGCAGGCTGAGGGAGGGAGGGAGGGGCGCGTGTGACCCGTCTCTGCTGGGAGACCAAACCCAGCGAGGCAGAGTCGCGCGGAGGCACCCAGGCAGCGCTGCCGGCTGCGAGGAGGAGCGCCAGGCAGCAGCAGGAGGCGCGGCCTCTCCTCGCCGCCGCCGCCCCGCCTCTCGCCGCCCGACTCGCCCGCCTCCCTCCAGGCATCTCGCGGCACACGAGGCAACGTCTCACGGAACACCGGTTGGGAAACACTGTACTAGAGAAGTGTGTGTGGGCTGCCTGTGACAGTGGCTGCTCAAGTGTAGCAGCAGGGGGTGGGGAATCTACCAGGGAAATGCTGCAGGCTGGGGCAGCCCCAGGCCACCTCCTTCACTCATTGGTTGAAACCTGCCTAGATCCCCATCCCTCCCCATCCCTTTCCCCCTTTCTGTTTTTTTAAAATGCATTTGATGAGAGGAGCACTCATCCAGCAAAGAAATTGATGTGGGCAATGCATAGGAATTACACAGGCTGTGTGGCAGGTGTGGTTCATCACGTCACAGGAACTAGCCAATGACTGTCCATGCCATCACATCCCAGCTGCTGCAATCCATGCACCACAGCCATATTCCCTATGTCTGTGATATCTGGTGGAAGCATAATGATTTCTCAGTTTAAAAGAAAACAGAGTGAGAGATTCTGCTTTGGGCTGAGAAGATGCAATATCCCATCAGCAGAAGTGCTACCATTTGGAGTAAAGATCTGGAATCTGAGAGGTATCACAATCCTTCCTATGCATTACAAGGAAACCCAGGCTGGAGCTCACTCTGGATTGTGTCCCTAGCTGTGACCAAAGTCACGTTCCCCACCAGGACAATCAAAGAATGTGCTGCAATGGTTGTAACAGGATAATCATTATGCAATTTGTCTTTCTAAATTTTTTTGCATTCCAGTAATATGTGGTGCAACATTAAAAAGAAAAAAAAAAGCCCTGCAAGACTCCACATTACAGGAAGCTACCAAAAACATTCTGCAACTATAGTGTGATCAGTTGAAATGGCACCCCTCCCACTGTTTTGCTTCCAGCTTGTTGCTGTTTTGTTTTCTACGTGATTCTTGACATAGTTTCAGTAAGAGGATTGGGGAGGGGAACTTACAGGAATCCAAAACTGACATGCCAACTAAAAGCACTTTCCAGTCCACAATCAGAAGGGACCTTCCTATTCACAACACACTCCTTAAAAACCTGGAAAAACAAGGATTGCATTATTTTAGACCATCAGGTGACTGGAAATTCCCCAACACATAACATATCACCATAGACATTGGTAAGAAGGAAACTGGGACTTGAGCAATTTTTTGGCTTCAGAAGCATATTTATCCTCCGGTGTTTTATTAAAAAGCACAAGTCAAGCCAGACTACCTTTCAGCACCTTTTGCACAGAGGCAAAGAGGAACGGATCCCCTTTGTTTTTGTTTAGGCAACACAGAACTTCTAAGGAACAGCACACACCACTGGAGAAGAGCCTCATTCTCCTGAGACGATTTGGCCCTGATCTCATAGGAAGAAACAGAGAAGTCCTGAGAAAAGGGCGGGGGGTGTTTCCTGTCTGAAAGATGACACATGCTAAGTTTCGTGGAAGAATAGGCTGTTAACAGCTACTAGCCACGATGAGAGCTGAGTGGTATCTGATTTGCAACTTCGTGATATATCACTAGCCAAACATCACGATATACTGATATATCACCATAAGGATGGAGCTATGTAGAGGCATTGTCTGGCTTCACGGTTTTTCCCACATTGTGATTTTTGCATAGTGTGTGTGCGCGCGCGCACACACACACACACGTGTCATGATTCACAATACACCGCCAAGCCAGAAATTATGAAACCAATACAGTGGTACTTCGGGTTACATACCCTTCAGGTTACATACGCTTCAGGTTACAGACTCCGCTAACCCAGAAATAGTGCTTCAGCTTAAGAACTTTGCTTCAGGATGAGAACAGAAATTGTGCTTCGGCGGCGCGGCAGCAGCAGGAGGCCCCATTAGCTAAAGTGGTGCTTCAGGTTAAGAACAGTTTCAGTTTAAGTACGGACCTCCAGAACGAATTAAGTACTTAACCCAAGGTACCACTGTATCATGATATGGACTTTCAACCAGTTTTGGATGATAGATCGCACAGCCCTAACACGCATTGTGATTTGTGATATATTGCCAAGTCGAAACCGATGAAACCGATATCATGATATGGACTTCAAACCGGTTTTGGACCATATATCAATATATTGCCCAGCCCTGGGCCCAATGACTATGTTCTACCTCCTCTGTAAGATGCACCGTGGCTCTGAATACCAGCTGCTGGAAATCACAGGTGAGCAGAGTACAGTTGCACCCATGTCCAGCTCGCAGGTCTTCCCACATAAGAATGTCAGATGAGTCTGCTGGATCAGGCCAGTCACCCATCTAGTCCAGCATCCTGTTCTCACCGTGACCAGCCAGGTGCCCGTGGGAAAACAAGGAGCAGAACATGAACACAAGAGAACTCTCTCCTCCTGTGGTTTCCAGCAAATGGCATTCAGAAGCCTTGCTTCCTCTGACCACCTAGTAGCAATTGTGAGAACAGGATGCTGGACTCAATGGGCCACTGACCTGATCTTGCTCTATTTTCTCATGCTTTTAAGATGATCGGACCATCTCAGACAGGACTGGAGATGGACCGTCCTTTGAAAGCGGTCTAAATTTCACCCTGTCTACCCATCACTTTCAAATACAATGCAAAAAGTATGCCTACCTTTCTTCTAGATGAAGACAAGTGCCTCTTGACTCACCTCGCTTGCTGAACACAAGCCGCTAGTGTCTACATATGACAAGAAGGAAGAACCAGACAGTGACACAGAGAGATCAATTAACTCCTCCCAAGGTTGGACAGGTGACACCTGATCTGCTGCAGCCGTCAGGCAGCCCTGCGTGCCTCGTCGGAGTGGCATGCTTAGTTATCATCCTTGGCCAAGATCCTTATCTTCATCCTTCTCAGAACATAGCTGTGGAAGCCTTCTGGCAAATGTTTTCAAACAGGGTACGTGGAAAACACACCCCATCGGGATCTATGTTAAAGGACCACGTCAGGAGGCTGCGGGCCTTGCAGCAATTTTGCAAAAAGGATCAGGGCCATCTGCAGATTGCAATCCTCCAGTATGAAATTACAAGAAAGGAGAAGAGGCAGGGCTGAACATGCTGTCCACAGCCACAATATGAACTGGGGAAAGGGAGAGCCACTCACTAGCTGAAGAGTGTGATTTGATCCATCTTATATTATTTTGAAACAGACCA